AATACGAGTTCAAATTGCACGTTACGCTTTAAGGTAATTTCAAGTGGCGGATACACAGGAAAGCCTACTGATGTCATCGATGGCAGGGTAAATGCACGTGCTGGCAGGAGTGACGACTGGGGCAAACTCGTGCGGCGTTTTCTCCCGAAGCCGGACGTGTGCATTCCCCATGACCCAGCTTCTCCACTGAGAAGAGAGAGATGACCCATCTGCCCGCCACATAAATGCGCAAACGTACTCACGGTAGCACTGTTCATGAAACCCCTAAACTGGAAAGAAAACCAAGTGTCCACCAGCAGTGTGATGGATAAACAGCAGCGAAGTCGCTTCACCTGCCAACTCCCCACCCCCACCCGTGCCACGCGTCCCACGGCCTGTGGGAAATACGCGATCTCCCTTGCCTGCAAGCCCCCTTCCCTCCCAACTCCTTCCCTCCTCCCCTTCCCGAACCATGCCAATCGTCAGTGATCCCCATCGAAGATCAGACTCGGAGAAAGGGCCCCTCCCTGCCTACGGCAATAGCGTTCCTTATCCCGTGAGAGCACGTTCTGTGTTCTGCGTCCACGGAACCCACGCCTGTGTGCACGGTGCCCCTTCACTGTTATACCGGACGCTCGGTACTTACCGGGTAAGAAAGTCACGCTGCCGGGATTCAAAACGGGGGAAATTTAAACCTTTAAAGGCTCTCTCTCACTGCCATCCCTCCCTGACTGTCAACGCCTGAGACCCCAGCGCCCCCTCCAAAGTGCTGAGCTAGTGCTCTGTGCCATCGTCCCCAAATCTGCACCCGTCTGTAGGCCGTCACCGAGAAGACTGCAGGGCCGGGCCTTTCTCCCTCTCCGCTTTCCGAGCGCCTCACACGTGATGGGTACAAAATAAATGTGTGTTGGGCGCATTCTCCAAGGCTAACGAGGTTAGAGATGCTTTCCGGTCCCTCCAGTGATCAGAAGCAGACAGCGTATAACACTTCATTTGATCACGCAGGAGGCTCACGAACCATAATTTTCTATTAACTTTTTATTTCACTTATTAGCACCCATTTGTGCTGGTTTCTGATACATAATATATTTCAACATTCTCTGTGTTTCCCTGAAATTATGCTGGAATTCAGATAGGACTGTTCTACAGGCCTTTCCCCGTAGCTGAATTAGTCCAAGTGACTGGGAGAGAGTGCGCACGGACAGCTCAGGAGCAGTGTGGGAAGGGGGGGGGGGGGGACGCTCACCCCAGCAAAGGAAGAGAGGAGCGAAACTACATTCTATCTGCAAAGAGCATGTCTCTCGTTATCTCAAAAAAAAAAAAAATCTTTTCAGGGAATAACACGTATCCTATAACCCTACAGCTATAAATTTCAACATCTGCTCTCAGTTTACCTGGAGGCCATTCTTCCCCATCTAGGGCAGCGTCCTGGACACAGGTACAGGTCACCTGCGGCTGGGGCTACAGGTGCATTTCCCACAAGGTCAATGGGTTGACATTTTCCCCATTTAACCACATGCTTAGAGTTTCCCAGTGATTATTTATAATTCTAAGATGAATATGTATTCTGTGAGTTAACTACCTAATCTCTGAGCCTGAATGCTACCAACTGGCATGCGCCCTTTTAAGGCAAGGATACCATAATTCCACAATTCAACCCTTGGCGCTTGGATGCGTCAAGCACTGGTACAAAAGTGAACAAGAAAAACCACTGGCTTCCAATTTCACTCCTCTGTCTTCTGTCCGTGGAAAAGCATGAGACTATACTTGCTGGTCGGGCCAAAAACAAGGCCCTGAAAACCGTGCACAGATTTCTGCATTTCTCTCGCTAGCCAGGAAGAGTGGACTTGGGACCCACACAGCCCTAGGTTACAGACTCACTTCGTGGCTGACCACCGGGGCGGGGCGAGCCTCAGCCAATCACTGGACACTCTGAGTGCCTGTTTCTTCGAGCGTAGGGTGAGATTACCGTGAGAAACACGGGAGACCGCGTGGGGTTTAGGCAGGCAGCGTTACGCTAACGCATCACCTCCACGAGAGACAGATACTGTACTCCGAACACGGACTATACATCCTCAGCACGGTCCTGCAAAAGGCATTTCTAATTGGCTTTTCATAAAACTTGTTCCAACTGACACATCGGCTCACGGTGTGGGAGAACATCTTTCCCCTCCCTCTTTGCCAGCTCTCAGGATGCCGTTACGGGTGATTCATTTGCATTTTGTAATTTACCCGAATATCATAATTTTTACAATGAACTTTACTCCTCATAAATGACGTGTCACTGACAATTCAATGCCCTGTCTCTTCCACCCAATCCAGGGAAACGATGTACAATCGGAATGTACAATCGGAATGTACAAACGATGTACAACCCCCATCCCTCCGAGACCCTTCTCACTGTGCCCTGTTATCCAGAGCACCTTCCTCCCACCCCATCCAGACAACTGCCGCTCACCTTTGGACTTTAGACCCTCCATGAAGTCATGTACCTCTGGCTCATTTCATTCAGCATGACCGCGCTTTTTGGTGGCTAAGTTTCTCATTTTCATAAAGTTCTATTTATCTATTTTCCTTCTGCTCCCTGTGCTTGTGGGGCCATATTTAAGAAACCCCTGCCTAATCCAAAGTCACAAATATTAATCCTTGTGTGTTTTCTATGATTTTTGTGCTTGTAGCTCTGACATTCAGGACTTTGATCCATTTTGAGTTCACTGTCCTATACGATGCAAGAAAGACTCCAACTTCATTCTTCTGCATGCGGACATCCCCTTGTCCCGCACCATCTGCTGAAAAGACAATTCTCCACTGGCACTCTTCTCAAGAATCAACGGACCACAAGTGTATGGGCTTACTCCTGGTCTCTCAATTCTGTTCCACGGATCTACGTGTCTACACTTTGGTCCGTAAAATGTGAGTCCCCCAAATTTCGTTCTTCTTCATCGATTCAGTTTTGGCTATTTGGGGGCATTGATGCATTTTTTAATTACTTGATGAGTGATTTAATTAAGCCTGTTTGACTAGTTTATTTGGTTAGTTGCTGACTTCTTCACCACCACATCAATTCCAGGAGAGAAGAGACCACCTCTCTTTTTTTATTCCTGATTGTATTGAGAACCAGACACACAGTGTAAACTCAGTGCGATTTGGTGAATGAATGAATGAATGAATGAGTGACCGAATTCTCAATTTTGATAATGGCAAATAAAAACAGCCTCAATGTTCAAAAATAGGACAATGTTTAAGGAAGTTATAATACATTAATAGCATAGAATATCATGCAACTGTTAAAAAACATGCCTTCTGATAATATTTAACGATTTGGAGAATCGCTGAGGCTGATCTCAATTTTGCATAAATGAAAATAAAGGGTGGAAAAAAATCAGGGAAATTTTAATAAAAGTCATCATGGAAGGCTGTGATTACGCTTGAGTTTAATTTCTTCTTTTCCTTTTCTCTATTTTCTACTCTTTCTGCAATCAGCAGGTGTCACTTCCATAAAAGAAAGCCAAACACTATTAACTAAAAGTACACAAAGGCATCCAGTTGTGCACAGACTTCTGGATTTGCAGTCACAGTCGATGATCGCCCTGCTAGGATTCTGCTGCTTGTGGAGTCGACCCCCAGTGACTTAGACGGATTCAGATTCTACTGGGGAGGTGGCCACATGGGAGGAACTGTTCTCTGGGCAGCCAGGGTTGAAGATACGATATGGGGTATAAAATCAATATAAATATGCCCCTACCCCAGTCTCATTTCTGACATGGTAGAACATCCCTTAACCACCTGTGAGAACCCAGGGCCGGGGCGGGTTTGTGAACCTCACCTCTTCCAAATCCCCAGTGGGGACCAGAGGGGACCAGAGCTCCTGAACCCACACAGGTGCTACTACCCACGCAGTCAGGGTTCAAATGTCATCAACTAAAATAGCTTGGAATTTATTGGAAAGTTACTATCCACACTGAAGGAACGGCCATACCTAACAGCACTAACATGACCAATATTGGTAAGGATTTTTTCATTTAAAAGGTCATGGATGGGGGCGCCTGGGTGGCGCAGTCGGTTAAGCGTCCGACTTCAGCCAGGTCACGATCTCGAGGTCCGTGAGTTCGAGCCCCGCGTCGGGCTCTGGGCTGATGGCTCGGAGCCTGGAGCCTGTTTCCGATTCTGTGTCTCCCTCTCTCTCTGCCCCTCCCCCGTTCATGCTCTGTCTCTCTCTGTCCCCAAAAAAATAAATAAACGTTGAAAAAAAAAAAAGGTCACGGATGTAAACTCATCGATGGTGGCAAAGGTCAGAATGCTGGACACCCTACTGACTGTTTGGGCTTGAGGGAGCCTGGAGGGGCCTGGGAATCTGCTTTAGGTCTTAGGCAGGTGCCCGGGTGGACGTCCCGTGCATGTAAATGTGCTCACTGATCTGAACATTTAAGCTTGCATGGTTTACTGAGCACTAAAAAATTAAAAAATAAAAAAGATCATTGCTTTTAAGACAGCCCTTGAAATTATTGTTAATGCTCATCTTTTTCTGGCAAATAATGTGTGTTCATCGTACAAAACTTTGGAAAATACCAAGGGCATCAAAACATGAAGATCGTTCATAATCAGTCCTCTGGCACAACTCGGCATTATGATAAATGCCACGGGAAGCCCTCCAACAGCTCGGCTCTGTTCTCTGGCTTCTGGCGCTGCTGGCAAGCTCTTTACCGATGCCCGCAGCTGCGGCCGCACAGACCCACCCGCCCTGACCACGTCTGCTCCCACCATTCGGCCGGCTTCCTCCCGACGCCTTCAACGCCAGCTGCGGGTTCCTACAGAATCATTCACTCCCCTCCAAGACGGGCCTGTGCCGCCACTGCTGTGGCCCCAAAGCAGGGGCCAGGAAGGGGGCTCATCCCCTGAGCCTTTCCCGACTCGCGGCCTTGTGGGGCAGAGGCACCTGCGTCAGGAGGCACGGTGACCAGGGCTGCCGTCAGGGCCCTGCCCCGTGACAGAACTCTTTCTCGGATAAAGGAACCTCTGACCTCTCCCACAGAAGGCAGAGGCCGGTCCTGACCCCTGGAGCTCTGGGCAACTGAGCCGCACTCCAGGACGAGGGCCGCGGCCGGCCCGAACAGGAAACGCTCATCTGCCACCTGGCAGGCCCGGGGCCGGCGACCCTGCAAATGCCCACTCGTCTCACTGCCCTGGGGCCCTCGTGGACAACGCCGTGCTCACCCCCACTTCAGACGAGGGACCTGAGGCTCACGTGCACCCCGGGGGAGCAGCAGGTGAAAGGCGGCCCTCGTGCCCAGAGCCCCGGGGCACCTGCTGTAGTGGCCGAGCAGCCGTGTGCCTGCACGGCGGGCACGTGGGCGGGCGCCCGGGACAGCCTGCGGGGACGAGCGGGCACTGACACAGGTGACCACCTGCTTTCCGCTTTCCTGTTTCCTTTGTCCGGTTTCTTTTCACTGCCCGACAGGGAGGACGTCAGCCATCTGGGTACAGCAAACCCTCACGTCTAGGCTTCCTCCTCTCTTCACCTTTCCTCTCACAGGGCAAATTATACTAACACAAGTGCCATATAGGCTTCTATCAAAGGAGCCAGGAAGCCCTTGTAAATGCTGGCTGCAGGCATGTGTCACCCGTCTCGCGCACGCCGAGGACGCTGAGTCACAGGGAGGAAGTATGACCGGGGCTCGCTTCAAAGGAAACCACTGTGCTCAGTCTCATCTGAAAATCACAGCAGTGCGATTGGCCATATCTGCTTTTCAAAGCCGAAGGGAAAGGGGGAAGAAGTCCTCCAGAAATACATGCTGGTGTTGCAGCTAAAGCCGCGTCACAGCTGCTGTGTGAAGGAGGCAAAGCTGACCAGCCCTTTTTATTCAAGCGCGTCCTCATTTACCGCCGCTGTCCTCACTCTGACACTGAGCTAGCCGCTTGGTCCCGGAACACGCAATCTCTCCCCTGGGGCCCCGGTTCTCTTCACCCATCCCCCACAAAATAAACAAACAGATTATTGGACAGGATGGCCCCGGAGGGTCCGCTCAGCTCCCTGTGTGCGCTGGGGGCCAAGAGCCTTCTTTCCTGCAGACCCTCCGGGCCACAGGTCTCAGTCCTGGGCCTCTGGTGCACTGGACAGCACTGCGTGTGGGGGCCTGGCTTTGCGTCCACGCAGCGCCACAGGCCCTTTGCCCGGAGCTGCCCGGCTCTCCCTGCTCCTAGGACGCAGCCGTCAGCTGCGTCTGCCCTGGAAAGGCCGCGAACAGGGCCGCGCTGGCTCGGAAGGCGTCTTGCGATCTGTCCAGACAGCCCCGTTTCGTTCCCGCCGGTGGTGACCTGGGCCTTCTCTCTTTCTATCTTGGTCAGTCTCGCTGGGCTTATCCATCTCATTGATTTTCTTTTTCACAGCATCAGATTTATGTTTCATTGATTTTTTTTTTTTCCTATTGACTTCCTGTTTTTCACTTCATTGATTTCTGCCTTTACCTGTGTTCTTTCTTTCCTGCGGCTTTCTTTCCGTTTGTCTTGTTCGTCTTTCTCAGTGACCCTTAGATTATTGGTTGGAGACATTTTCTCTTTTCCAGCGTAAGCATTTGGTGCCATAAATGCCCCTCCCTGCTCTGTCGGAACGCGCAGCGCACAAACTTTCATACGCTGTGCCTTCATCTGTATTCAATTCTGTATATTGTTCCCTCTCCTTTGAAATGTCTCCTTTGTCCTTTGTTATTTATAGGCCTGTTGCCTAATTTCCGAGTGTCGGGAGGTTTTCCCGTTGCCTTTCTTTATGAATTTCTAATTTGAATCCATTCTGGATTTCGATTCCTTTACATTTGCTTAGATGTGTCCTACAGCTCCAGGTAGGGTCTGCCTTGTTGGCTGTTCCGCGGGCCCTTGACAAAAACGTTTATTCTGCTGTGGCTGCACGAGTGGTCCGTGTGCAACCAACCGCTAGATCCTGTTGTCGACTGTTGCTCAGTTTTGTGCATCCTTGCTGATTTTCTGCGCGAAGCCCACGAACGGCTCGGGCGGGCCGCTGGAGGCTCCCGCTATGACCGTGGGCACGTACAGGCATCTTTGTACTTGTCTCTGTCCCGAGAATGGGCTCATGTCGCACACACATTGCTACATCATGCTCTTCTTCCCGTTTCTCGAGAAAATCTTTTCCAGTCAACCATAACAGGACTCGAATTCTCTGTTTTAAATGGCTGCACTTAGGTGGCGAAGTCAGTTAAGCATCTGACTTCAGCACAGGTCATGATCTTCCCACGGTTCATGGGTTCGAGCCCCGCATCAGGCTCTGTGCTCACAGCTCGGAGCCTGGAGCCTGCTTCGGATTCTGTCTCCCTCTCACTCTAACCCTCCCCTGCCCGTGTTCTCTCTCTCTTTCTCAAAAATAAATAATAAACATTAAAAACAAATTTAATTGGGACACCTGGGTGGCTCAGTCAGTTGAGCATCCGCCTTTGGCTCAGGTCATGATCTCATGGACCGTGGGTTCAAGCCCCATGTCAGGCTCTGTGCTCTTAGCACAGAGTCTGCTTCAGATTCTGTGTCCCCCTCTCTCTCTGCCCTTCCCTGCTCATGCTCTGACTCTCTCTCTCTCTCTCTCTCTCTCGAAAATAAATAAACATTTAAAAAACATACTTATTTTTAAAAATTTTTTTAAATATAATTTATTGTCAAACTGGTTTCCATACAACACCCAGTGCTCATCCCCCAAAATTAATAAAGATAAAAAAAGTAAAAAATTAACGTCTGCACGTTGCTGCCTGGTGTGAACGCACCAGAATCCACGCCCCACCCCCCGTCCGTCATGGGACGTTGTGCGAGGGGTGGCATGACTCCCAGGGACAGTTCCGCTGGCTTCTCAACCGCGATTCTGACAGAGGCTGATGCTGCTCGCGGCAGTCGGGGGTGGCCTGCGGGGAGGCAGTGGGGGGACGGTGGGTGGCACAGGTGAGTCTCCGTTGAGCCCTTTCATAAAAGGAAGTGTGGCTCGGGCCACAGCGGACGAGCCGTAGGAAAGCCCTAGCCACCTTCTCGAGACAAGGAGCAGCCGTGTCTTGGGCAGAGACGGACGAACCCACCGTTGCAAGGTGCATGTGAACCAAGGCCCCAATTCTCCACAGGACAGGACAGAACTCTAAAAATAGAATATGCACCGAGCCACGCCCGAACGCAATTCCACCAGGTTCTGTCCGTGAGCCGAGTCTCTCCCGTGTCGTCCACAGCTAGAATGTGAGCGGCTCAGACAAGGCAGGAAGTAGCGAGGAAGACACGTCAGCTTAGAGAAAAGGAGGAGGGGGGCCGCACACCCTCGGGACTGTCACCTGGTAAGGAAGGAGATCAGCTCTGCAGGCACCAGCGAGCCACCGAGGGACAGAAGGGACAGCGTCCGACCGGCCCCTCCAGTAGATGGGGAGCATCCCAATTCCAAGGGGTCGCAGCCCCGGCCACCAACAGGAGGTGGCTGATGTCTCGTGCCCCTCTGACCCGGGCCGGTCTGAGTGGAACGTCTTCCCCCTCTCTGGGCCGACGCCGGGCCCGCTGTCACCTCCGAGGCATTTCTTGCTCCGACTCTCCCTCCTTGAGCATCCCCCGCCCCCTCCTGCACACATCTGGTCAGTCTCTGGGGCCCTGGACACACCCCTGCCCTCCGTGAAGCCTTTCCTGCTAGTTCCAGGCCCGCTCGCCCCTCCCCAGGCCACCAGCACCTTACTGAACACAAAACTTTGTCTTTTTAATTTTTTTAGGTTTCTTTTTTTTTTAATTTCTTTTCATGTTTGTTTATTTTTGAGAGAACGTGAGCAGGGCAGGGTGAGAGAGGGAGACACAGAATCCGTAAGCCGGCTCCAGACTCTGAGCCGTCAGCACAGAGCCCGACTCGGGGCTCAAACCCACGGACCGTGAGATCATGAACTGAGCCGACGTCGGACGCTTACCCATTGGAGCCACCCAGGCGCCCCTGAAATTTTGTCTTGTTAAAATGCAGCAACTTCTCCTGCTCGAGGGGATCATACATTCCTTTTGGAAAATAGCCCCGAACCTCCTTCGAAGTGACGGTCCCCTCACAAGGCAAGGGACGAAGGGAGCCGCAGAAACACTCACTGCGTCTACTTCCCCCGCTCTGTTTCCTAAGTCCGGCTCCCCCGGGAGGCGGGGGCGCCCGGACGTGCTCAGTTTAGCCCTCTGTGTGGACACGTCCTGCTGACGTCAAGCTATACAGTATTTAACCTCCATAACGACCACTCACGGCTCTCATTAAAGCTGCTTCTCTTACCGAACGCTTCCTGTAATTAGCTTTAAAGAGAATCCTCGGGTCTGCTAATAACGCTGCCCATCCGCAGAGCAGCTCTAGCGGACTCCGGGTGGGCGTTCTGTTCGTGCCAGTTCACAGAAAGAATAATTACCCAGGAATTTTTTTTTTTTTACCAGAACAGAGTCCAAAATGTGCCTCTTTGGACTTACATTCTTAATAGCCAATTACGCATAAAGAGGCCCCGGGTCACCCTCCTGACCTTCTGCTCTGACCGTCCTGACCCTCCTGACCTTTTGCTCCCTCACGTTCCGCGGCGCCCCACAGTCACCTGACCGCTGTCTCCACTGTTCCCTGCCGATCACAGGCTCTGTCCCCAGGGAGGTCCTGGGAAGAGCTGGCAGCTCGCTGTCCCCGCAGCTGTGGCTGGTGACCTTGTCACATGCGGAACCCCCCTCAGGAGTGACTTCCTTGACAGCAGGTGCCTTTTGACTTCTCTTGGGTTCTCAGGGGCCCCAGGGGTGGGTTCATTCTGTGGATGCACAGAGCCCTGGGGCCCTCACGGAGAGCTCCTTAGCCCTGGGTCCTGAAGGCTGCCAGAGCATCATTAGAATAAAGGACAAGGCGGGGTGTAGAGCAGGGCCCAGACGGGAAGAACTGAGCGAAGGTCAGAGGGGCCGCTGGTTTGGGGGGAAACCAGCGGTTTCCTGCGGCTGCAGTATTGGGGCCCGGGGGGCAAGAGACGAGCTCGAGGGCCGATCGGGAACGTGTGTGTCTCCTGGCGAGGCACCGGGTGGACTTCTGTAAACAAAAGCCGGTGGCAGAGAGCGCTCAGTCGGGAAGCTGAGACACGTATGTTACGGAAATAAATGATTCACCCCATTTAACAGAAAAAGGGTGAAAATATATATTTGCCTCACTAGATGCTGAAAAAGCCCCGGGGAAAATACAACGACCATTTCAGAATTTTTTTTTTTTTTTTTTGAAAACTAGGGTTATAGGAGATATTTCGTAATGTGGGCTCCAGCAGCCCTGGTGGGGGAGGCATAGACGGGGCACATCCCGGCCACTGTCCCGGCCCTGGTGGGGGGAGGCACGAACAGTTTGTGGTGATACTGCCTCAACTGGAAGTCAGTACTTGCGCACGTGCGGGACCAGCGGTCAGGTGCTCGCACCCCACGGGGGACCCCCAGCCGCTCGGTAGGCCATCCCTGTACTGAAGCCCCGCCCCCCAGAAGATATTCCTTATTCACTGCACACTGCAGAACGTTTACGCTGAAACACAAATTTTTCTTTTTGTTCTTTACTCAGGAAATACGCACAACTGGTCTTTTCCCTCCATCTCATCCGAAGCCATCGGACCTCTGAACGAAATCATTCCATCCAACGTCATTGGTCCTTGACGGTTTTCACTTAAAGGGCTGAGTCCTCACCGTACATCCTCGGAAGCCACCAGACCTCCGGGGCAGCGGCGCTCTGGGGTCTGGGCCCGGCCATGTCCACCCCGACGAGCGAGGCCCGGACACCGCGGTGCAGGCCGCTCACTGGAGGCGCAGGGACGGGGGATGCCGCGACAGCAGCGGCTCCCACGGGGGCCGGGCCTCCACGCACGCCCTCTGCCTCCCGTGGGGGCACGGGGAGGTCTGGAACCCCACCGCGGAGGGGCCCGAGGGGGCTCGGGGTCCGGGCGTCCGGGCCCCACCCAGGCCGTGTCCCCGCGCAGAGGCGGTGCGTCCAGGTGAGGCTGCGGGAGACACACGCCCTGGGGACGAGCTCCCGGCTCGAAAGCCAGACTGTCCGTGGGCTTGCACGGCCCCCCCCGCCCCCCGGCGTCCTCCATTACCAGGACTGTGTGCACACAACACGTGGCTCGTGCTCCTCACAAAGAAGACAGACACGCAGGGATGAAGTGCAGTGGAGACAAGGGGAAGACACACGTCTACTCCTTACAGGATTCCAGCGTGAGCAACAGCTCATCTTCCCCAGAACCGTTCTCTCTTAGACTCGAATACAAAACGAGTGAAGTGATCAGGTATTTCTGGAAACGTGACATTTACTGTTTTCTAACAAGAAAGAAAACAGCCCCTGTCCAAAGTCATCACAAGTCATCTGATGTATGTCTGTGTGTGTTGTGTGTGTGTAAATGGTGTGTGGTAAGTTCGTGTATGGGGTGTGGTGTGAGTGTGGTGTATGCTGTGTGTATAGCGTGTGTGGGTGTGCGGGGCACACGCACATAACACACTGGCTATACTTGTGTCACATAAAAAGAGAGATGGTACGCTTTGTAGATTAAACTAATAATTTTGCCTCTTAATCTCAAAATAATTTCTTAAACTGTTTTTCAAACCACTTGGATGATATTTACATGGAAGCCACATATTATGAGATTTTCAACAATTAAAAAAAAATTCAATTTTCAGGGCGCCGGGGTGGCTCAGTCAGTTGAGCGTCCAACTTCAGCTCAGGTCGCGATCTCACCGTCCGTGAGTTCGAGCCCCACGTGGGGCTCTGTGCTGACAGCTCGGAGCCTGGAGCCTGCTCCGGATTCTGTGTCTCCCTCTCTCTCTGCCCCTCCCCTGCTCATGCTCTGTCTCTCTCTGTCTCAAATATAAACAAAAAAACATTTTAGAAAAATCAACTTTCAAGTTTCCACTGCACATCAGACAACAATTTGTTAATCTAGAATTAAAACGGAATCCAATCAGTCGCACGGCGATCATGTACCGCGGCCGTGCTGGAGGAGCTCCGCGATGCCCTTGCTCGTGGTGTCACAGGAGGAGAGCACTGAGACGAAGCAGATTTAAGGTATTTTTTAAATATTTTTTTTAATATTTACTGATTTTGGGGGAGAGCACAAGCAGGGAAGGGTCAGAGGACAAAGGGGGAGAGAGGATCCGAAGCGGGCTCTGCGTTGACGGGCTGACAGCAACGAGCCCTATGTGAGGCTCCAACCCACAAACTGCAAGATCATGACCTGAGCTGAAGTCTCAACCGTCTGAGCCACCCAGGTGCCCCAGATTTAAGGTATTTTTATAGACACTGAGGCAAGTGGAAAAAATAACAGTTTAGAAGATTCAGAGAAAGTGAAGTTTCTAAAGACCATCAATAAAGAGCAATAGAACATTTATAAATAAAACGAATCATTTCTACCGCCCTAAATATCATCAGATTCACAAATGGGAGAAACAAAATAATTTTTTAAAGAGCTCTCGTAAAAACAAGGCTTCATTCCGAGAGAAGCACAGCCCCGCACAGGAGGAGAAAAGTCAGTAGCTCTTGGGCTGTTGGACTCTCCTGCAAACAGCCGGTAACTTGGACTGTCAGGAAGAGTGGACGGGAATCTGTGGCCGCCCGAGGGACCCGGCACACAATTCCTGCCTCGGTATTCAGGTGAGCCCCCGAGGTGAGCTCCTCACCTGGGCTCCCCAATCCTTGCCGTGGGCACTGGGGTTGGTCCTAAATGTGCTCGCTTCTTTCCCTGTTTTGAGTCTGCGGTGTAATGTGCTACAGGGAGGGCCCGTCTCTTGGGGACCCTGGGGCGTGTCGCTAGCCCACAGGGTGTAGCTGTCCATCAGGCCGGGTCAGGGCTAACCTCTGGGCCGTGCTGGCCTTTAGAAGGCTCCTCTCGGCGGCCAGCGGCTCTCCTTAGCAACAGACTCCCTCATGCAAACTGGTGCAGCCACTGTGGAAAACAATGTGGAGGTCCCTCAAAAAACTAAAAATAGAACTACTCTACGACCCACCAATTGCACTACTAGGTATTTATCCAAAGGGTACAAAAATGTTGATTCGAAGGGGCACATGCACCCCAATGTTTATAGCAGTGCTATCAACAATAGCCAAAGTATGGAAAGAGCCCAAATGTCCATCGATGGACGAATGGATAAAGAAGATGTGGTATACACACACACACACACACACACACACACACACACACACACTGGAATACTACTCAGCAATGAAAAAGAATGAAATCTTGCCATTTACAACAGTGTAGATGGAACTGGAGGGTATTATGCTAAGCAAGATAAGTCAGAGAAAGATATCATATGATTTCACTTATATGTGGAATTCAAGGAACAAAACAGATGAACATAAGGGAAGGGAAGGAAAAATAAGATAAAAACAGAGAGGGAGGCAAACCATAAGAGACTCTTAAATACAGAGAACAATGGGTGGTTGTTGGGGTGGGCGAAATGGGTGACAGGCATTGAGGAGGGCATTTGTGGGGAGGAGGACCGGGTGTCGTATGTAATTGATGAATTACTGGGTTCTACTCCTGAAGCCAAGACTGCACTGTATGTTAACTAATTTGAATTTTAAAAAAAAGGAAGCAACCCCCCTCCCGTTCACGCCTATCTCTCCCTCCTAAGCTGCTCACTCTGTGGGCCCGTGCGTGGAGCACGCAAACATCGCCTCAGAACCCGCCAAAGACCCGTGGCAGCCCCCAGGCGCACTCAGGCGAAGCCGGCTTGGACTTTCAGACAGTAGAACTTCAAGGTGGGCAGCAGCATAAGCGACACAATTTCTATGGGCCTTTCTCGTCCAAATTTAAAGTAGTTTCAAAATGGAACTGTCACGAAAATATCCATTGTCCTTTGCTGCTGTGTGACCAAAAGAGAAAGCCAAGGGTTGGGCACCCTGAGGTGGGTATCCGAGCACCGCCAGGAGGCCTCCCAGCGTAAACCCAGGCCCGGGGGCTTCGTGTGCAGGAGCCTCCCTGCTCTGTGTGGCCGGGAGCCATATCAGCGGCAGGCTCGGTGGTGACACGTGCAGGACTAACTCAACATGCTCTGAATGCCCCTGTTCCCAGGCACCTTCTCCGTCTTTCAATCCCACACCCTTCATTAATTAACCCTACCACTGCTGTTCACACAGTTTGATATTTCCTAGGTGAGTCAAACCCACCCGGCTCCTGCCCTTCCAGGCTCTCCTCCCAGGTAACTAGATGGAGTTGAAATATCTTCAAACAACAAACCTCGTATATAATATCCTCAAGCGTCGTAGCAGGTGTCTCTACAAGGGGGCAACACCTATCGTTGTACAGCAAATGAATTTTCCAGAACTTAGGAAAACTTGCGGGGGGGTTCCTTAATTTAGAAATAAATTTAAATTGGGACGCTTTGGTGGCTGTCGGTTGGGCGTCCGACTTCAGCTCAGGTCATGATCTCGCGATCCATGGGTTCGAGCCACACGTCCGGCTCTGTGTTGACAGTTCGGAGCCTGGAGCCTGCTTCAGATTCTGTGTCTCCCTCTCTCTCTGGCCCTATGCTACTTGCTCTCTCTCTCTCTCTCTCTCTCTCAAAAATATACAAACATTAAAAAAAATTTAAGAAGTAAATTTAAATCAAACCCTTCCCCAAACCCACAGCCTTTAGATTTACAAGCAATGTGCAGTCATATACTAGAGATTACCTCTCTCTCTCCCCGAGATCTTGTAAAGCCGAGAGACTGATAAAACTATTCACAAATCAGCAAACGGTATCACGTTACGATTGTTTTTCAGTTTTGTGATTTTTCAAGAAAATACGTCCATGATGTTCAACGCAACAACACGGGCAATGAGGAAGCACCAACAGAGGGCCACGTGATAACGTAAGTCAAACGTGTGCACGAGAAATTGTCCTTAGCATCCGACCTCGTTGTTATGTGGTTCCAAACTTCTCCGGGGAAGCCTGAGCTTCTGTTCACACGACCACCGTTCACGGTGAACCAGGCGATGGCACCAAGCGCTGGGTGCCCCCAGGGCACTGCTGCCACTTACTGGAAGCACAATAAAGTGACCCCCAAACCCAGAGGCTGGGGCAGACCCAGCCTTCCGTCCACCTGAGTTCGGCTGATGCTGGAGTTGTCGCAGCCGTAAGACGGCCCGGCAGAGCTGACCTGGTGGCCTATGTTCATCTGAGTCCAGTCATGACTGACCTTTAGAACTAGATGTCTGCCTTTGTTCTCCAAAAAGCAAGAGCAAAGCCCCAAGCAAAGGGAATGATCTGTTTTTGGAGGAAAACTTTAAAGGCAGAAGTTTGAGAATTCTCCCTCCATTTGAAAACAATCTTCTCTGTTCCACACGATAGGTACCTTGGCTTTGCCAAGGTCTGTCTGTTTTAAACATAAGCTCTTTTCTCTGTTTGTTTGTTTGTTTGTTTGCTTCTTAGATCGCAATTATATTAACACACTAGAAGAAATATTCTCCAGTGCTTGCTAGTTCACCTCAAAGTGGTCAGGGTTTTTTGTTTTTTGTTTGTTTCTTTCTTTTTGTTTTGGCTCCTGGTTGTGTAATCTAAAGAGGGACTACAAGAAGAAAAACCATCGTCTTTTATCATAAACTCAAGAAGACGTGCATATTTTAAGCTGATCGGCATCCCTCAACATATATTAATCCATTTTCATATGGTGAGATGAAGATTCGATTTAAAAGCAGTCTCGAGGGGATGAGGGGGCCCCATTTTTAACACCGGGGACAACAGCCCTTTGTCAGTACTTTTTAGGCAGTTAACTGCAGTCCACAGTTAACTGCTTCCTTTAATATTTTGGTTCCCAAACTGCCGAGATACAACATTTTATCCGAGAATGTGTCTGCTGGATTGTTAAACTGAATCTGTAGCCTGTATGTGCAGGCCAGACGCCCTGCGGGTCTCTCGGTGTGCTGGACAACACCGTGGAGACCGTGTGTGTCTCGTTCCCTTCCAAACAAGCAGCCATGCATCCGAGTGGCCTGCCTGCTCAGCCCTCCCCCGGCTGCAGGACGTGGCCCAGCTGTAGAGCGCAGTGATGGCTCCCCACCACCGTCCAACAGGCTGGAGGCCGGGAGTCTGTGGCAGGCCAACCGACAGGTGCTGGGTATTCGTTCTTTTAACAGCATAAAATACTTGCATAAAGGAGGAATTTTATGGACCACACTGGGCACGACTGTGTAATTCTTTGTGTCGAAGGAAAAATCTGGAGCTGCTAGCTCCAAGGCCCACGCTCAGCCCCTTTTGGCCTATTTAAATGGAAGACTACGGCCCCAGGGAAAAAGAGTCCCCAGTTCTCTGCTGCTGTAAATCAGAACCCTCAGGTATGGAAGGCGAGGCAGACCTTGCTGGGGAAGGGAGCACCAGCGGCTTACATAAAGCAAGCCAGCATTTGGCCTGCACTGCTGGGAGCTGGGGGGGAGCCAGAGCACCCAGCCTGCCTCTTGGGGCAGACACAGCAGAAGTAGTCCCGCCGCCCCCGTATCTCCCAGGGCAGGGCGGTCGGCGCTCCCAAGTGTGCTCACCGCCCGGGGCCTGATGCCCACGTCCCCGGCACAGGAGCCCGTGCCCACAGGGGCACTGGCCGGACATATGGCGCAGCGAGTGGGCAGAGGAGCGGACCCCAGGAGAAAGCAGGCCAGAGCGAGGTCCCCCGTGGCGAACCTTCTCCCCACGGGTACGCAGCTGGCGCGCCCGCAGCGCCCCGTCCCCGCGGCCCCGAGAGCTGGCCCAGGAGCGCGCGCCTGCCGGCCTCCGCGGCCACCCACCCCGCGGCCCGCGCGCCCGCACCCACCTAGACGACGTAGGTG